AAATGAATAAAGCATCTCAGTCATGTACATGTTTACATGAATAAAGCTCTTTGTACACTGTCTTAAACTCAAACTTTTGTGATTGCAATATTTTTTTTAAATGTATTGCCTTTGTGCACTTTTTCAAAAACTGCATTGCAAACTTCAAAATCGTACAGATTCTGAGAGCAACCTGCATGCTGCTTTTTCTTTGGGTTTGGGAAGTGCAAATTTCCTACACCTGCAGAGAAGTGGGAAGCCACACCATGTTTTTACCACATCCCTAGATGAAACTAAGATGATCCTAGGGATACCAGAATGATTCCCTCTTTCAGTGTTATTCCCAAGAGCATATTCTACAATTACATCTCAGGCACCCTTTCAAGCAAAGTGCAGATGGTGAAAAACCATTCCTGAGGAAACCAAGCCTGGGCAAAGGACCTGAAATTTGAAAAGTTATTATTTTTTTAAGGTCCTTGTAGTTCTAGAGCAGTGTTCCCCAACCTGAGGGCCATGACCCTCCAAGGAGATTGCAAAGTGTCTTCTAGGTGGGTGGGTGTGTCACAGGTCACCTTATATGTGTTGCAGCCCTTGTTAAATGATTTCTTCCTTGACCTTTTGGAGTGGGATATTAAAGCTAGCATATATGTGTCTGTATGAGAAACTGGCCCTTTTGAGGAGAAAGATGCTTTCTGAGAAGGGACAACTTTAGCCCAATAAAATGCATTTTTATGCAAATATGGCAGGATGGAGGAATCATAGGTTATGTGGCTATTATAAAAGGGGGGGCACAACTCTAAAAAGATTGGAAACCGCTGTCCTATAGCAACCCCACTGTGGCGTTTACCCTCATGCCCCTTGCTTGACTGTCAAGACTCACAGCACAAACAATCCCCTCTTTTACACTGCTGCCACCAGGTGATCACTAAATCACCATCACTTCAGGAAGATGAAAATTCAGGTCTATGATTGATTCATGAATACCTTCTTTAAGTAAATGTATTATTAACAACAACCTTCTATTTGATAATACACTCCTAACTCTAATCACACCTCAGAATTCTGCAAACTCCACACTCTAACTCCTTCTCTCTCACTCACTCTTACTCTCTCTGTGACTCTGACTGCATGAACATTTACATAACAAAACATGAACCATTGACCTAATAAAGGGGAACGCTACACCCACCAATGACAATCAAGTAATTTGTTGCCATTATAGTTGCATTTTCTAAAGAAAGAAACTTGCTTCTCCAAAGTAAGTAGAACAGAAATTTTAAGTCTTTTTAAAAATTTGAATTCAATCAGTGGCTGTGAGAGAAAACACTGTTCTCCTGCCTCCATCTTGTCAACTTCTCAAAAGAGCAAAAAGAGTTGGGAGAATGCAAAAAGCCAGAGCTTGAACTGTGAAATATTATTTTCCACCATTTATCAAAGTCACAACCCTGCAGCTATACAGGTAATTTTAAAATTATGATTACAAAGCAAAGGGAGCAAATGCCTTCCTTGTCTAGTCAGCACTGTTATGTAACCTAGTCATACCCCAATTCCTGGGAAAAATAATTCATTACAATAGATACTTAGTTTTATAATTTATTTGTTACAATAACTAATTATACAGTCTCCAAGTTCTGGGAGGATTGTCAGGAAAGACATGAGGTATGATACAGGAAATGAGAGGTGGTGTCAGGAATTTAGAGGGATGTGGGATGTCGCCTGTGCAAGCTGACATTCCTTCCACTCACACAAAGAACTGTTTCCATCCCATCCAGAGATATGGATCAGCTTTTCCACACCCAAATCCATCACAAAGCACGGGTGTAGCCCACTGGTCATTGGGCTAATAGTGCATGTGTGCATGCTGACACAAACTGAGCACAAGATAGCATGAGTGTGCTGAAATCACACAAGATTTAATGTTTTACTTGTAGAAAGATAAGGAGAGTTTCTAGTGGTGACAGCCTTGCTGGCCAATACTGTACTTTTTTCTAGGTAACTGGATGCTCTGTCGGATGTCCATGTAGAGAGGAAAATAGCATAGTTGTAAAATGTGCTATGACTACTATATTGATCATAAATCATGATCACTTAAAAAATACTTGCACCCTACTGGGAGGACGTAGGCCGCCTGACATAAACAGTCCCTGACCAGGTGTATGTTTTATTTACCAGTTATTTGGAGGGTCAAATGGAATGAAGGTTAATCAGAAGCCTCCATACCAAATAACTGCTTATGAAAGCTAAACTTTAACCTCTTTTGATCTATGTTACTCAAAATGCTTGACCCATCTTCATTTCACAGAAACATACCACCAGATTAGGAGAGCAGCCACTTGATCTAAACAATGTAATCTGCTTGCTGATTTCTTGTTGCTATGAAATATAATTTTCAGGTTTCAGTAACACAAATCGGAATATTCCATACAAGTTTATTGATCCTTAAATCTGTCCATCAACCCATTTCAGAGTTGTCAGCCAGCTAGCTGGTTGCTGAGTAGATGAGATAGGGGTTGCTTTCCTTGAAAGGAGCATATTCAACATGGATCAGGCAGACATGAGGAATGAAGTATTATTTATTTATTTATTTTATTTTATTTATACCCCGCCTATCTAGTCATTTCGACCACTCTAGGCGGCTATTAATGAAATTAGCATGCTACTAAGAAAAGGGCAAGACACGGAAGTATGTTCCTTTCCTTTTCAGAACAGCTCACCACTGTAGTAGCTGATGTTTATCAGTGAAGAATGGATCCACACAAGCATTTCCAGTCACTCATTTAATCTTTTAAAATCCCAAACAAACAGGCTATGGGCAAGAAGAATCCTAATTTGGAAACACTACTTCTATAGACTACAGGCCCCAGAACTAGATAACTAGCATGATCATTGTTAAGTGTGAGATTCTGGAAGCTGCAGTCAAAAGGATCAACTTTTCCAAGCTCTGAGAAGAACACCATGACTAAAATCCTTGTGGCGAAGCTGTGTGTCATAAATGCTGATGATGTCAGGTATTGCTCTTGAATTTAATTTAAATTTTCTGACTCCCTCCCTCTCAAAGGTTGCACTTCAGGAATCCCTGCCCTGCCTCCTCATCTGAGTGGGCGGCTGTCAGAGGCGGCAGAGGAGGGAAGCACGGGCTCCTGCTGTGACTGGATAGTTGTGCGATGAGATGAGCAGCACACGCTAACTGGTGAGTGAGTGAGCTGGCTGAGGGGTGGGGGGAAGGGAATGTACTGCACCTGTGGTGTCACCCTGATGACCTGCGACGACCTGGCACGAAGTGAGTTGTGCCCACCTCTAATTTATTTGTGGCTGAATAAAACAGAGAAGCCTTAGTGATAGTTTGCAGCATGGTTGTGCAGTGGGAGGGGGGATTCACAAGACAGGCACTGCAATCCTAACTGTGACAAGATATGCCAGCTGGTTTGGGTCTGGAAGGGACCGAAGCCTCTCATCCCAGCATGACTGCCTTTGTCTGGCATAAATCTAGTAACTACCAGTGATACAGCTTACTGCACTCTATGTTCTTTAGTTCTCAGGAGCTACTCCAGTAGCTGGCACTGAGTGGTTTTACTAGCTTAGAAGCAGATAAAAAGTTGACCATAGATAATCTCAAAAGTCTCCAAGCTCAGAGAGATGAACCTCAGGGCCAGTGGGGAAAGGGAAGGAACGAGTCTTATTTATTGTTATGGGGTGGCTATAGTACTTGAATGCACAGCTCCTACCTTCCAATTTGGCATCAGGACTCACAGGCTTCTGAAACTATAAATAATACATTTGTTTAGGAGGGAGTACAGGGGACCCATGATGCCTATCTCACTCCCTCACACATGGATACACAGTCATGCTGCCATTCTTTGAGAGATTCCTGCCTCCTCTGACATCACAAGGCCCATACCATGACCTCACCAAGACCCATTCCACACCATTTTGCCCCACCATGACAGCCCTTGACAAGAAACCATTTCTGAAAAATACTTTTATTGCTTTTTGAAAAGAGGCTAAACAGGTATCCTGGCCCTCAGCAGAGACAGCCTGGTTTAGCTCCAGCAGGATGCCTGCACTGTGGTCCTTTGCATCATCACTCTGGGGAAGAGGAAGCTTCCGGCCCTGCAAGACAAAAAGGAAAAAACTCACACAAACTAAGGGGCGAGCTCGTCCACTGCCGTCAGCTGGCTTCAACCCAGGCACATCTACCAGCCTCTGTACTGGCAACCTCATCCCGAAGTTCCACCTGCCAACTTCCACTGGCTTCCACCAGAAATATACACCCATTCATCTCTTCCACTCCACTTCTAAAGCCAGCCTCCGCCAGCTCCTGAATGCTTGGGTCACACACACACCCCAGCAACATCCTCATGGAACGCCAGCCAGCCCCATTCACTCCACCAGCTATTCTCTCTCTCTCTCTCTCTCTCTCTCTCTCTCTCTCTCTCACACACACACACACACACACACACACACACACACACACACACACACAGGCTTCCATCCACTGATATCCACCAAGCTTCCGTCAGCTGGTTTCTGGAGGCTAACTTCCACTAGCTTCAACCACCAACCTCTACCAGCTTTTGTCTTGCAACATTAGCCAGCTTCTGTCAACAGATTCCACCAGCTTCTGTCTCCCAACATCCATCAGCTTCCCCCTGATCTATCACCAACATCAACCAGCTTCAAGCCAATGATCTCCGCCAGCTTCAAGCTGCTAACTTGTAAGCCCACTTAGCAAGTTCATCTGCTTTTGCTAGAGAACTTGCCTTGTTGAGAAGGTGTGTGTCCCCTGCAGATGCCCTCTGCCGTCTGGCCACTGGCTTCCCCTCTGTTCTCCTGCCCTGCCCGCAAGCCTCTCTTATCTGTGAGCAGACAGGTGGGATCCCTATGATGTCACAAAGACCCGGGAGCATCTGCTGAGTTGCTAAGGCAGCAGCAACAGCAGTCCTCAGGATTGGCTGAGTCCTGGAGATGATGTAATCAATCCTTCTGATTTTTAGAGTAAATCTTCCCATTTTAGCCTTCGGTCCTGATCCCAGAGTGATGCTTAAAAGTTAACTTCCAGTGTGTACACAAAAAGGAACTTTCCTAAGTTCTGAGCTTGGAAAAGAATTGAAAATAAGAAACAAGTAAGGAAGGGTACAGTCATACAAATGTACCCCTTGATCCATTGTTGCTTCTTTTTTAGAAGTCAGATAAATAAATAATTGAAATAAACAGACATTTTCTTGTGCCCTGCCATGAAAATATGTTATAAGAGCCTGTAGTTTAAAAAGGTATTTTAAACACATAACTATTATAAAAGCAGCCATGAAGTTTTCAAAGATGTAGCTGTGTTTCAAAGATGCTCCCAGACTTTGGAACTCCCTTCCACTGGAGGCCAGGCTGGACCCATCTTTGTTGTCCTTCCAAAAGTAGGCAATGACCTTTCTCATCAGGCAATTTTCCCTTAGTGATTGGCTGCCTGAGTGCAGTTTTGGAATAGACTGTTCTGCTTTATTGTCAGGCATGTTGTCAGTGGAACGGGATAGAGGGATAGATACATGTGTATGGCATTAATTAGTCTGATTTCTGTAAACTGTCTATGATAATGTAGGGGTCAAAGGGAGGAATCTAGGAGTGAATGGGAGTGGCTCACCAGTGGAATGCTACTTTTGGCAGAACAAGTCCCTCTTTTCCCTGTGTTTCTGCAAATCTGCTCTGAAAGGATCGAAAACCTCCAGAATTCATGCCCAGGGATATAGAAGTATTGAGCAGAAGAGGGAGAATAGAGGCTCTGTTATGTGAATGGAACTCCACTTGCACAATGTTGTGTTCTGTCCAAAGAGTGATTTGGTGTTTGTGGCTATGACACCCATCTTGGATTCATGCATTCAGCGGTCTTTAAAAGCCAGCTAAAGGCGTAATCAGACAGGTATTTGACCTCCGGTTTAGTCCACTGCAGGGCCAGGGACTAACCCTCACTTCAATTGGCCCTTTGTAGCCCAATCCAGCCTGCATCAAAACAGCATCTCTGGCCTGCCAATTGCTAAGAGACAAAGCATGTGGTCACTAACGATCTCTTCATTCATAATACTGTTTAGTTGAGTAAAAGGGATCAAGGTAAAATCAATTTTGCATAAAAGTAAACTCTGACACAACATGTCATTTAACAGTGATAGTGATTGTTGTGGCAGTTTTGTTCTTTCCTCCACAATATACAAAATGACTCCTTTAGATCGTCATTTATCCGGTACAATTGTATCCTATGGCACAGAAAAGGCAAAGATATGTGGACAGGATGGGACTTGACACATATTAAAAAAACTGCACAAACTCAAATCTACCTATGTTATAATAGCAACCACTATTGCACAGAAAATACCAATTTATGTAAGTTAACATCAAGATGATGAAAGCAGTGCAGACTGAAAAACAGAAAAAACGCAGAGTAAGAAATGGCACCTTTGTCTCATATGAAAACTTGCACTTCACCATAGATTGTTCAGCTGATTTCAGAACAGAAGGGTCTTTTTAAAAGACCATTTAGATGTTAAGCTGTAATTCTATTCAAAACTGTAACTTGGCTGTATCTGCATATTTAGCAATTTCTGTGGCCACCACACCCATGTCATCTAAATTACGGTAATTAAAAACACAAGGAACTGAAAAGAAGGGGGATTGGTGGGTTTTATGTATTTATGATTTACCCACTATATGAAAGTAAATGAAATTTTTAATTTCATACTGGCTGTATACATTCAGCTGATTCATCTGACAGTCCAATTTACAATCACGTTCACCTGAAGAATTTGGATTTCTGCCATTTTGGTCCCAAATGACTTTGAAGAGAAACATGTACTGTATCATCTTAAATCAGCAGACTCTGGCTTGATCAGGCTAAGAATCTGCCTGAAATATAAATGTCTGGTATATCTGTATCGTCATGCAATTTATTCAAAACTGCTGCCCAGCTTAAGTGCAAGCTATTCTATTAAACCTTTTGAAACACATGTTTTGCAGGCAATTTTGTTCTAATAAACATCAGTGGTAATAGTAGCACAACTAAAATGTTCTTTTTTCCTAGCCCCCTGGTCGTGTTCAGTTTTTGGTATGGAGTAACAACATTCCTGTTCTGCTTAGCTTTTGATGGTTTGTAATTAGGGTCTGAAGCTGGTTTTACTCATTTGGAAATTTTGTTGTTCTGTTTTTAATTTGTTTTATTGTTTAAAATTCTTTTAATGTTTGTTTTGTATGCACAGCCTTGAAAGCTTTATGGCCAAATGCTGCGCCACAAATGTTTTAATTAATTAAGCAGTACTATGAACAAGTTCTTGAAAGACTTTCGGCATTTTTTTAAAGATTCACTGTTAATGGAATATCCTGCTTATTGGCTGGTTTATGGAACTGCCTTTAGTAAGGACGCTTCTGTTTCTTTTACTGCTTTCTTGCACAACATAGCCATTCAGACAAGCAAAAAACTGTAAGGAACATAAATTGTTCTGTAATCCTTAACTTTTTCTTCATCAGTAAATTATTGCCTTTGAACTTAGCTTTACATTATACTCTGCCAGTAGCAGCAATAAAAGCAACTGCAAAGCTGGTCTCCTTCCTTCTGTGGCATTTGATCAGGTTTTCATTTATGGCACTGTACATTATGACCAAATCGAATAATCCCAAGGGATCGCAGGACAGCGGGGAGGGGATCAAGCTTCCCTACTTTAGGCATGTGGTGGTTGAGCCCTCCTTGAAATTAATGGCAAAATTGGACTCTTGTGTAGTCAAGCAATTCCAGAAATATCAATCTTTAATCCACACAACAGAGTGAGCTCCCATCACTTGTCCCAGCTCCTGCCAACCTAGCAGTTCGAAAGCATGTAAAATGTGAGTAGATAAATAGGTACCACCACAGTGGGAAGGTAAACAGCATTCTGTGTCTAGTCGCAATGGCCACGTGACCATAGAAACTGTCTTCAGACAAACGCTGGCTCTATGGCTTGGAAACGGGGATGAGCACTGCCCCCTAGAGTCGGACACGACTGGACTAAATTGTCAAGGGGAACCTTTACCTTTGCCTAAAAACAAAGGCTGACATCCAACCTTGTTTTTGGATTGTGTACAAGGACCACACAGCCTTTTGCTTTTTTTTTTTTTCCAGGCTTGAGATATTTCCTCTTTAACAGTGGTTTCACTGAGCCACAGATGGACTTTACCTCCTGATGCTGGGACATCGAGATGGGGGAGACAGAACTCACACCAGCTATTTGTATTCTTATGTGCTGCAGCTCCACTGAAAAGAAAAACCTACTAAAACATTGTGATTCAGAGCAATTTGTGAGTAACTTTGCTTTTATGGAGTATTCTGTGTACATGAAGGTGTTAGGAGAATGTAAACCGTTTTTACATTCACTTGACTGATCCAATACTCTGTTGTTGTTGTTTTTATTTTATGAGATCTAATCTAGAAACTCACAGAAATTTTCTTCAAACTTTGTGTTGACTTAAGAACATAAGAACAGCCATGTTGAAACCTATGAGAAGTCCATAAGCAGGGATAAATTCAACGGCACCCTCCATCCTTTGTTCCCCAACAAGTGAGATACAGAGACATACTATCACTGATACTGGAGGAGATAATATATTTTTCTTGACTAGTAGCCATTAATGGCCCTGATCTCCATGGCTCTAAATCCATTTTCAAATTTTCTAAGCGGACAACTATCACTGTATCTTGTGACAGTTAATTCCAGTTCATGTGGTGGGTAAAAATGTACTGTACTTCCACCATTCAGCTTCAGCAGGTGAAGAAAAAAAAATAAAACCTTCTCCCTCTATCTTTCCATGCATAATTTTGTACATTTTCATAGTTTCTCCCCTTACTGCCACCTTTCATGCTCCATGCTCTCATTATTTTGATTGCCTATACCACAACTGCTCTAGCTCTATAATACCCTTTTATTTGGTATAGCAACCAGTATTACAAATGTGGAATTGCATTATGAACTTGTATAAGGGCAGCATATGATACTGACATTGAAATATCCTTTAAAAATTATGCCCAGGATAACACTTCATTTTTTTAATAGCAGCCACTTAGTGGCTAGGTAAACATTTTCATCAAGCTCTCTATGACTATTTGAAGATCCCTTTTTTGGTGAGTTGCTATAATCTCAGATCCTTCAAGTATGCATGAAAAGCAGGAGAGTTTGCCCCATTACACTTGTTTATACTTTTGCCATTTTAATGCCCGTTTTCCTAGCCAGGGCTCACTGAAAAAGACAATAATGGCCAGAAAAGCTGAAGGTAGTAGGACAAGGGGAAGGCTGAACATGAGATGGATCTCCTTAATAAAGAAAGTCATGGCTTTGAGTTGCCAGAAATTAGCAGGCTTGTCTGAGAGGTTAGTACTGTAATTCATAAGGCCACCATAAGTCAGAAGCAACTTGGGAGCAATCAAGAACACCAACATTCCCAATTAGTAGAGTTCTTTCTGAATATCTTCATAATCCATTTTCATTATTGCCCCACATGATTTAGTGTCATGTGCCAAATGTGGCCACCACATTACCCAACAGCAACTCCAGGTCTTACTTGAGTAAGAGATTCTCTACACCTTAAGCGTAGTGGATATACATGCTACAAAAAATTTTTAAGAATATTTGGTTGGCATTCCTATTTATTCTAACATATTTCACATATTTTGCTGATGAAGTAGCATCCTAGGGGACATACTTATTTAGGAGATATCATTGCAGGGGACAGGAGTGGCCCACTGCACGTTGTTGGACTGCAACTACCAGCAGTAGTTTCCATTTTGTATGAGCTGAGGCTGATGGGAGTTTTAGTCCAACAATACTGGGAGGTCTGCCATGTATTCATCCCTGCTATTAAGCCATCTTAGCCTTCACTTAGCAGAATCTTATATATTCCTTTCTTTGCTTGATAGATTAGTACTATACTTTAATCAGCTTGATTCAGTTGTATTGTGATAGTTTAAGAAAATTAAACAGAACATAAAACATGTATTATGTATTTAGACCATTAAATCAGTAGGTATAAGAACACATCTGCAGGAAGGCAAAGTCATAATGATCTGCCTGCCAACCTTGAACTTCCCCCCTAAAAATAGTTCCAGGATGTTTGATGCTTCCTTCTTCTCTTTTTTTAAAAATGGAGTATCTCTAAATATAAAACTACAAGTCCTGAGATCTGTATTCATCCCATTATTCAACCTAATGATTTATACAAATGACTTATATATGGTTTTTTGAAGCTAAATAGTTTTTGAAAGCTTTCTGTTTTGATAAGGAGAATTAATTAGTAAAGAGACAAAACTGGAAAATGTTAATAATCTTTACATTTTGCTAGCTCAGAGTGGCTTAAAAATACCTGAGAATGATATCTAAAGTTCTATGTAATCCAATACAGGGCCGAGTTGACTAAATAGAATTTTAAAAAGACAGTCAAATTCTCCAGAAATTTGTGGAGAATTACCACTTGCTTTTCATTTTACAAAGATGAACTACAGTTGTCACAAATATGAAAGTAGCAGTGATTCTCAGCAAGGCCCATCTCCGTAGCTGTGGTATATGTCTGCTCTCTGTTTACTAGTGTGCCAAAGCAGATATTGTTGCCAAAATACAAGCACAGTAGCGATATGGCCCCAATTAAAATTTTAGATCTACTACTAAGCCAACCACTTTCTCCCATATTGGGAACTGCTCCTTTGCCTCATTATATCATTTGGACCTGGACATTTTGTTTAGTTTGGAACAATAAATGAAACAGGTTCTAGTCTGGAACACTCCACTATTTTGACATCACTGGATTCTCTCTTTGTCATAATTCTATATTTCACAGGAAAAGCATGCCTTTGACTCAGAACTTGGAAAGGCTATTTTTGGACTCTCTCTCAGATGTAGTCTGTGCTGGCTTGGGGATTCTGGATGTTGTAGCACAAAGAAGTAATTTTTATAAGTTCTGCACTGACTACCACCCCTTGTTTGCTTTGACCTTAAATAACTGTTGGACTGTGTGATGGAGACACATTTTGTTTTCTGTAATTACACCTTCTAGAACATTAGAGAAAATATCTTGGTCCCACTGGAGTCAAGGGAAACCTTTTTTTTAGTGGTACATATTCTATTTTTATCTGTCTCGTTTTCCAAGGAATCCAGGGTGGCACACACAGCTCCCCCATCCCTCCAAATTTTATCCTCTACTTCATCCATTTGTATTTTTTAAAATAGCCAAATATTCTTATTTCTGAATTAAAAATACTCTCTCAAAAAGCCGCACAATATCTATAAATGTAACACTGTTATTTTTATCCACTATGGCAGGAAACACCAGCTTTGAAGGTCCCATAATCTGTGTCTAGACAAAGATGGTCAGATCAGATGTTCAAAATTTCAAAAAAGGAAAAGAGTGGGTGGCTGAGGAGGCAACTATATGATGACAATTTTGGGTCCCATGCTTTTGAAGGATTATATATCTTTGGTCATTTTCTCTTAGTTGTGACATTCTCTTTCTTTGGATAAGAAGAGACAACCAATCACAAATGTCAAATTTGCTTCTTTCATGAACAAATGCCACCTCCTGATGTGATACCAACAGTGTACCTCAGCTGTATCAATCCTATACTAGATTAACAGAACCAGTTCTTCTTTTTTGTTAGATGATTAACAGAACCAGTTCTTCTTTTTTGTTATTTGATTCATCAAGACAGAATGAATAACACTTAGAGATTTTGTACATTTACCAGTTGATAACCTATTCACTCTATTTGCACTCTGTTTTCAGCACGTTTCCTGACACTGTCAGTTATAGTCACATTTACTCATCACCTCATGCCTGTGAATAAGGAATCACTGCCTGGCAAGATGGCTGTGCTGTTCCACAGGCTACCTACAGCTACAGAATCATTCTGCTGGGAAGACCTGGAACCATCTGAACCAGAGATGTTATCCTAACATTTGTGCCAGCAGATCCCTACTGAAGCCAAAGGTCCTTCACTGGTGCATATCTTTTCATTTCGCTTTATGAGAACGTATATTATCAAGCCAATATAGGTGGCTAATCTTCTTTCTATACTGTATTTACTGAAACTATTATGTAGTGATTTTTTTTCTTCTGTAAACATGCAACTAAGAATATAAGCTTAGCAACCAGCCTGTAATTAAAATATTGAATTGCCAACATAAATTCGGCATTCAAAATCAATATAAATCCAAAGTCCAGCGATTCCTGACAGAATTGTATTAATTTAATAAACAGAAAACATTGTGTCAATCTTATAGCTATGGTACATTAGAACAACCCACTTGCACACTGATAAGCCACACCAGGCAATGCATGTACGTAAATGCTGAAAAGAAAATATATTATTGTAATCATTGCTAATGTTTACATTGCATTATGCATTTTGGTATTTATACCTTGACCTTCTGTCATGGTGGAATATAAGGACTTTGCTACCTTGGCATTGATGAGACTCAAACTTGTTTTGGTTCAGCAAAATGGTTGTACTGTGTTCGCCCCTACTACATCCTAAGATCATTGATAGATGCTTTGCTTTGCAGATATGACCTGTGCTTTATAAGCTCAGATAAATATACAGATATCGATCCTACAGTAAAAATTACTTTGATTGCTTTACTGAATCAGACACCCACCTTTTTTTTTACTTTTTTTACTTTGATGTTAGCAAATGTTATTTGTTTTAATTTTGAAACCACCATGGAATGCAAGCACTGTACAGTTTTAATGTCCTTTCCAGCTTTAATTACAAATTAAAGATTCCCTTGTTTTACAAGTGCTGGAAACCAGCCTGCCATTTTCTTCTCACAAACCAAACCACAAAAAGTGACTAGATTTAGAAACAGTTCAGACTTATATTATTTATGCCAGCAGTCCACAAAACCACTGAGGCTAGGCGGAAAAACCTTGCCAAGTACATAAGTTTGTTTAGCTGCACAAAAAACATCTGTGGAAGGTGAATGTAATAACCCTGTATGTTACTACAGACAGGTATTTGCATTAAAAGTGCCATTTACTGCTCATGTTAACAATGCTATTCTGTTGTGCCTGATATTAGAAAATAATAAGGTAACACTCCACATTAAATGCTGAGAGTCAGCAGTGCACTCCTGCTGTTTTATACTTCCATGGTTGTGCAGAGCAGCTCAAATAAATTTGGTTTTCCAGTCTTGTACAGATGGACCAGCTTATGCCTGGAACTGTTGGAACTGTTTTCCCTCTCCCATACTCAAACGGGAAAGGCTAAGGGCCTCTGCAAAGGCCAGCCTTCTAGAATCTAAATTTCTGCCATTTAAAACTTGTGAAATGAGCACTGCCAATCTATTTTGATAAGGGACATCTCAGAGAGCCTATTAATTTCTTAGTCCCACTCCACAAAAAAATAAACCAAAGCATAAATCAGTTACCACATGCCTTTAAGGCACAAGTGCTCCACACCTGAGACGCTTGAACAACTTCACCAAAAAGTCTAATCATTCATTGGTGGTTGTTCACACAAAGTAGATCTGGGTTAGAAAAAGAAGGAAGTCCTTTCTTTGTTCTTACCATTTGTTTTTGAATTGACATGCTGCTGTCCAGAGCTAAAACTCTGAAGATCTTCATAACTCTTATTCCCATTTTGGGGAAAGGGGAGAAGCAGAAGAATATGATCTAAAGAAACTCAGTTAAATGAACTTAAAATAAGAGAATATTTTTTAAAACAGCCACTATACAAATAAATCAAACAGCCAACAGGAACATAACGCTTCAGACTCAGTGTTTAGAGCAGACCAACTACTTCTAACTAGATCTCACTGGATCTCAAAAGAAACTACATTCCCTCATACAGAATAGGGAACTGTTATTCCTGCTTAATCAGAAAGTTCTGCTTATTGCGTGATGTTATTCTTAAATCTTCCCATACTGTATATGATTCTGGTGTGGTGCTCAAAGTTTCTCTAAAGGAAACACCTTCAAGGATCAGACATGTTGCAATTAATCCTACTCCTTCCTAAACAGGACCAGTACAGAATCACAACGTTCACCCCATAATTGTCACATCGCATTGCCCACTTAGGTAACAGACTCAAGTCCAGTAGATATGTGAAACTTTCAGAAAATGGCAGGATTGTGAGTTAGAGCTGCAGCCTCAGTTAACAATACCTTCCCTAAACAAGGTTGCAAAAAAAAAAAAAAGGAAAGGAAAGGAAAGGAAAGGAAAACTGCCAATTTTTCTATGTAGGAGATTATGGAAGCCTGTTATTAGCTGTATGGTAGCTAAAGTAATTGTGTAAGTGTTGTATAAGGCTGCAAAAAAAGAGTGCAGCCATTACAACACTCATCTGAAACTACAGATCTGAGGTCCAGTTTTCCATAATGATTTGCTTGCTACTTTTGCCCACAATCAAGAGATTTACTTTGTGCCAGGGATCAGTTCCTGACCCTTTCTTCAATATCAAAGTTTTGCCAATCAGTATAAAATGAAAATGGTAAAGAAAGCGGGAAAGAAAGCATGCTCTTTCCAGTCAAGGTCTATTTTATATTTTAAAATAATCTGCTACTGCAGATTATGATCCTTATATTGCAAGTTGTTGGAGAAAAAGAAGTTGCTGTAGATGAGAATTTACTACTGCCAGTATCACAAATGAGAGCTAGGACTGAAACTGATCTAGATTACCAGACATAAATCCACATACAAACTATTCCTCAAATTCCAATAAAAATCAGTTTGTTTTGATTACTAATCCAGGATCCTTCCTAGTCTCAGCCCAATCCAGTGACCAATTTAGAGTTAAACTAGCCAAAACTAGCACATTTTGGAAAGGATGCTGCTTTGAAGAGTAAAAGACATTGGTCGTATCGTAATATGTAATTGTCTTCAAATGAGCATCTTGCATTTTTTGTGATTGATCACTTCAAGATAAATATGGCTTAATTTGAAAGTATCATTGGTGAGTCAAGTATGTCTGAAAAGATCTGTTATGAAAGTGAAGATATGTTAAATAGCAGAAGCATCAAATTCATTTTAACAACTAGTTTTACCCTCAATCCAGCAGTATAGTGCTTTACTGAGTTCAGCACAGAAGCACTGTAGCTTTAAATATTTTTAAATAAATAAATAAAATACATTTTCCACACAAAGTAGGATCTGTGAAGTGTGGTGGTGTATAAATTCAGCTCCTGCTGCTTCCTCAAATTTCACAAATCAGAATAGGGTCATGACTATAACATCTGACTTTGGGACCAGAAATATTGAGTGTTGAAAAGTAGGGACTATGCTCATTCAGTTGGACTTTAACTCCCTACTTTTTTTTTCACTTGAAGAAAGATCTGTCTTTGAGGCTGCATGTCATTCCCTGACCTTGTTTCTGTTGTTAATATACCGCTCCATAAGACCAACCTGCCTATAAGACACACATAATTTTAGAGGGAGGAAAATAGGGGGGAAAAACTTCTGTCACGCCTGGCTGTCTGGGCGGCGCTGCGGTGTCTTCCCCATGGCCTGGGTGGTGGTGGGAACCATCGCACAAGTAGTAATTGTGGGTTCCCTGCTCTCATTTATCGTTACCTGGTTCTCCCCCCCCATGCCCTTATTTTTGGGGGAGTGCAGAAGAGACATCTCAGCCAGTCCCTGACGGGTGTCCTGAGAAAAAGAAGAGAGAAAGAGAGAGAGGGGAGGGAGGCAGGAAAGGGAGAGGAAAGAAGGGGGAAGTGTGAAGAGGAGGAGCCGCTGCCACTGTGTGAGCGAAGGAAGGGCTGGCAGAGCGAAAAGCAAGGCGAGGGTGAGAAGAAAGCTGAGACAAACGAGCAGAAGAGAGGAAAGCTACGGAGGGGAGGAGGAGGAGGAGGAGCTTGTTGTGTTCCCCCATTTCGAGTCTCCCCTCACATTGCATTTCGCTGGTGGCAGCAGCAGTGGTGCGGGGCTGTGGCAGGTGCCCCTCTGTTGTTCTGGTCCTGGCCTATTTGAGGGGGACGCGGAGACATGAGAGAAACCCGGAGTGGGGGGGGTCGACAGAAGAAGAGGAGTACAGCGGAATGGGCTCTGGGGGGTCTGCACCATTTTTTTTACAGTATTCGCTCCATAAGACGCACACACTTTTCCCTCCCCTTTTTTGGGGGGGTACATCTTATGGAGTGAAAAATAGGTTATATTTTTAAAAAGAAGCTGCCATGGTCCTTCTTGGGAAATGTACCATATTTTTCCGTGTATAAAATGACACTTTTTCCTAAAATAATTAGAGGGAAAAAATGAGGGTTGTTTTATATATGGAAGGCAGCAGCAGAGGTTGGAGACTCAGGCAAAGAAGCAGCTGGGCTTTGTCGCCTCTCACGGCTGCCCATTGACTGCTGCTGCCGCTGCCCGATTGCCCCTTCCAGCAATCGTCTCCTTGTGATAGGGCAGCGGCAGCGGCAATCAATGGGCAGCCGTGAGAGGCAGCTGAGCCCGGCTGCTTCTTTGCCTCAGTCTCCACCTCCTGCTGCTGCTGCCTTCACTATTGGTTGTGGGCTCAGTGATTGTGCAGCCCTTTGATCCCTGCTTTTCCCTTCCCTCCCTTCCCCGGGTTTAGGAAGTGATAGGGAAAGCAGTGATCAAATGTTCGAATTTGGGGTTAGAAAAGAGGGGGTCGTCTTATACATTGGGTCATCTTATAAAGGGAAAAATACAGTAGTTCTTTCAGAGACACCCTCTATAGAGCCTAATGAGCAACAAGACTATGCCTCCCAGGAAGGATTGTGGCAGCTTCCCCCACCCCCTTTTTGAACATTAACAACAAGAAGTAAGGCTGAAGAAGATCATGCAGCCCCAGAGATAGGCCCGTCTCCATGTAACCAAAATGTAGGTGCCCATGGATGTGCGCTTGTGGGCTGAAACTCGCAGAATTCTGACTAGGAAATTCTCAGATCATTCTAGAAATTATTTTAAAAAAACACACCAAAAAAACCCCCCAACAAAAACAGCACACCCTTAGTGATGACATCACTAACAAAAAATGGAAGACTTTTTGGAACTCTTTTTCCCAACATAGCATTTTTAATTTAAATATGAAAATAAAAGCAAAACAATTACTGTACTTATTAAAAACCGATAAAAAAGTAAACGGATATTGATGTCCCAGGGCACAAGCATATTCTGAAAGGGAAGTGGAAAATACCATGTAGAGTCCACCAACAGTACTGGAAGGACAGAGCTTGGGAGAGAAGAAGCAAGACCACAGCACTGTGAGGAAACCAGGAAAGAAATGAAAAATGAAAGAAATGAAAGTCGCTGAAATGTCAGGTAAAAAAACTAATGTAGCAGAGTAAACAGAGTACTGGAATAAGTGAGGAA